TACACGCTGACGAGGCTGAGGTTGAGTAACGGGATCCGTTGAAATGCCCTAAAGTGAAATCTTTCGTTAAGCAATTACCCAAACCATGGAGACAAACAAGCAGAATTCTATTGAACTTATAACTACAGCGCGTTGCTAAGCTAAGAAGAAAATGATTTGCATTCATGTTCCTAGCCCAATAACACTGCCTTTTATAGACCTCTTCGGCTTGGGGTAATGTTTTCCCATTTCAGACCACGTGTCATTCCCTTGAGAATAAGATTCTTTGTTTTAGCCGTATCCATATTCATGTATCTTCTCATGTTCAACCGAGCGCAAACCTTAAACATAGAAATAATACTCTAGGGAATGACATGTGGTCTGAAATGGGAAAACATTACGTCAGAGCCGAGGAGGACTATTTTGATGTAACTTTGACACAGCCAAGGTCATTAAGTTCAATTGATTCAACTTGAGTTTTTTCAAAACTAACCTCATTTTATGAAATTTACATTTTTTTGTTTTTTGTTTTTGTTTTTGGGTTTTGTTTTTTGTCTTTTTTACATCAATAGTTTAGAAATATTTGTGGTTCGGTATCAAAATTGTCTCATCATTACCAAGTCATTAATAGATAATTTATTGGTAGCCATTGGTCCACTTTGGGTTCCCAAAGTCACGGCCGGTTTTGTATCCTAGTTTCACTAATAGTAGCTGTGTAGGCAACTGTAAGGAAGGATCTTTGAAGATCTGCTGCTGAAAAGGCAGTGAACTTAAACTGATGATAAGGTGAGTGTTGTATTATAATCATTTATATTCAGTTTTCTGATCGACAACAAAAAGTTTAAGAAAAAGTTTAAAAAGAAAAAATCCTTATTAAGTTGACCAGGTAGAATGAGCTGGCCATGGTGAAAATATTAATCCATTACTTCTGGGGGAGTAAAAGAAAAGAACATTTATAATCCCGCACAATTAGAAAAATTCCTTTTTCATCTTACCGTTCTTACTAATTTTTAAGTTAACCAGGTGAGATAGAATAAGTGAAAATATTAATTCAATTTACCTTTTGGATACTAGCAACAAAAAAATATAAACAGACAAAATTTACGCAAAATTATTTTTGCCTTTCATCCTTGCACAGATTTCGTTGAAAGATTTCAGTATTCAATTTTTTGTATTCAAAGTAAGTCACTTATTCAATCTCTGAGATATATTATTGATGAAAAAAAAAAATCCATGGTCAAATCATGGACTGCTTAATAACTTTTACTAGTCAGCACCCTCATTCTATCATTCTCAAATTCACGTTAGGGAAATATTTTCCGAACACTCTAAACTTAACACACAACAAAGACGTACGTCTCAGTAGGATAAAAACTACTTTTTTGACTTAATCTTTTTTAAGACGCTAAGACCACAGCGATAAAGACAAAAAATATCAATATTTCGGTCAAGAGTTTCTCTTTTACATGTTATCATTTCTTTTATATTTGTTTACTAAAAACATTCTTAACTTCAAAATAGCTATCGGAAAAAAATTTCTTTCTAGTGTTTTCCATTCTTTTCTTTTCTCTTTCTTTTCCTTTACTTTTTTTGACTTAGCGACACTAACCGTATAAATAACCATGGCAACTACTTTAAATTGTTCAATTCACATTTCCTAACTCCCCCCGTGTAAGTTTTTATATATTCAACATTATTTTCTTCATTAAAATAAGAAAAAGAAAAGGTAAAGAAAAAAAGAAAAAAAAGAAAAAAGAAAAGAAAAAAAGAAAAAATTGAAACTCACTCGAATCAAGAAAAAAAATTAAAAACTTGCTCCTTGAAATTAAATCCATGATTAATGATGCAATTATATTGAAGTTTACTCGTGTTTATTACGACAACCAAACATTAAACTTTGAACCTGATTGGATAAAAACAAGGTCTAATATTCAATTTATTGTAATCCTTCACAGTGTTGTCTAATGTAATAATCATCATGAGAGAATGCTCCTTGGTATTGTTATTGATCGTGACTTTGTTCACGACTGCGGATTCAGTTGCTGCTCAGTCGAAAAGTAAGAACTACAGTAAATGGATATAATTTTTTCTCGTATTTTTTGCTGGGGAAGGGAGGGGAAGTTGGGGTTAAGGGGGAAGGCTAAGGATGTCTGTCTGTCGTTGGTTTTCCTCAATTCAAGTGGAATGTTTTTTACTACCTTAACCATCGCCTTCGATATTTATCGTAATGGTCTTTATTCTACAGGGCACATGAAAGTTTTTTTTAATATTTTCTTTTTTAAAAACGACAAAAAATAGTCATTGCTTCCTTTTTCATATATCTATATACGACTTCCTCCCCTTGATTCCCTCCCCTTTGAATCCTCAGTCTTCCTAAATAGCTTTTGAGGTAAAAAAACAAAACAAAACAAAACAAAACAAAACAAAACAAAAAAAGGAAATTGAAGGTAATCCGTGGGAGCAAGCATTTACAAGCTACTAGCTGATCGTTAGCTTTTCCTATGTCAGTCCAAGACGTTACTTTAATCCCTCTGGATCTCAGGAAAAAACGCTTGTGGATAAACAAAAATAATATTATATTTTCATTAATAAAGGTCACTGGTGACTCAAACAAATAGAACTGTTTTAATAATTCCGCCCTGTACCATTCTCAAAATTGTCTTGAAATTCGAGGCTAACAATGAAAATACTAAAGAAGTCACACTTTTTCTCGATTAAATCTGTGGCATTTCATTTGGTTTCTTTCCATGTTAGCCTCGCATCATTTTTGACAATTTTAAGAAGTGTAAATATCGGAGGCTTGTTGTCCAGAAGTATTGACTGCTGTTTTTTTTTTTTTTTTAATCTTATTAACGAAGCGACAGACAACTATGACGTTTCATCTGCGAAGGTTGTTGCTAACTCCCTCATTGAAGGGCTGCTTTCTTATTCTAAAAGGAAAAATGGTAAGTATAATTGAGATATTTTCTGACTTGTTTTCTATGCAAAACCCCATGCTATTTGTTAAATATCATGGGGAAACATAAATATTAATGTTTTTTTTACAAGAGGAATCACAAAAAATTACATGTAAAGACTTTACATTCCTATACATAGCTTTATCTTTTTTGTTGAGTCCAGGAATTGAACCAGGTTTATTCGCATTGGTGAGAGAATGCGCTATAGCAACGCACACCGCCATTTTGATTACCGCGAGATATTATAAAATAGGAGACTTGGTATAAGGAAGTATTGGATTAGACAAAAAATCTTTTGCGCTCTTCGAGGCGAGATCACCTGGAAACGCACAAGTGCCAAGAGTACAAAAGGGATCTTACTTTAGTTATGTACACATTAATTAATCGTTCATTTTGGTTGTTTCCAGGCTCCCCTCTGCCACCTCGTTTAGACCTTGTATTCATCTTGGACACCCCATCTTCAGAATGCAGTTCTAAACAGTTCGGGATTTTGAAAGTATTTCTTCAAAATCTCGTGAAGGAGTTTAGTATATCTCCGTCCACAACAAGGATTGGTCTTATTCGATGTTCTGCCAACGCAAGCCTACAGTTTGGACTGGACCATTTTATGAACCGAGAGTGCGCACTGAAAGCACTCAAGAATTTAAGGTATTTCTTTTTTTTTTATGGAATACGGGGAGGGAGAAAAGCAGGAGTTGAGCCTTTATTTTTGAATTCCAGGTACCATCCAAGTTCGCGCTGTTCGTTGAACAGTGCATTTGACTTGGCAAGACGTATTGTATTCAAGAAAAACGATCTTCACGCTAAGAAGCTGGTCTTCCTTTTATCAGCTGAAAAACAGCGCCATGACAAAAAAACCGTCGTATCTGCAGCCAATCTACGAAGGAACGGTGTTGAATTGTTTGAATTATGTGTACGCAGTCATCATAGGGCACGTGAAGATAAGAGAATAGCAAGCAAACCAATGAGAACACATAGACTTCATGTTGATGATTATGATGCTCTAGTAGAAGTTGCCGATCAAATCAAAGGCGAAGGTAAAAAGTACTCCTTTTGATTCTAAATGATGCAATAAGAAATGGCTATGGAAATATCATAATCATCTCATTCTGTATTATTTGTGCAAGTTAGCCGCTCCCTCCTTAGCAGAGAGGTTGTTTGAGGGTTCGATAAAAAGTACAGGATGATCCCTTAGTATCCCAAGTGCCCTTTCACGCATGTTATTGCTTTATTTGGCCTTAACCGTTTTATGTGAATATTTTGTAATGATACTTCTACCACTAATATTATTACTAATACTAAGGTCTTGCTTCAGCATCTGATGAAGACATGTTCGACTAATTTGTCTGTTTATGTGAATATTTTTGTAATGTAACTTCTAACAACAATATTATTACTAATACTAAGGTCTTGCTTTAGCATCTGATGAAGACATGTTCGACTAATTTGTCTGTCTATTAATCTTTAGCTGTTGGATCACAGCATGGGACAATCACAACAGAACTAGGCTCCAACTATGTGAAAGTCCAAAGATCGAATTAGAATTTAGTAGTTGATTGCTGTAGCGGATCCTGCCACTTAACAACTTGTCAAATAAAAGTAGGCAGTCCTTAGGATCTGTACTAATACTGAAACCTGATTAGGATTTCAAATTACTGCATGATACTCGTGCAAATAACCCCCGTGCGGATCCTAACACTTACAGTGCGGACACTAACCATGAACACTTCGAGGTTTTTTTGACATTTTTTCWACATTTTTAAAACTATCCAATCAGCGATCTCCTTCTTCAAAGGAATGAAACAACTCTTAGGCATCATCCAATCAGAACACACGATATAATTGATGTGATTTAGTTTTTCAGTAGTTCCCATGAGAAAGCTAAAAATAGAACTCCTAACGATTGTCGTGATTGGATAACGCATTAAGTAAAGTTTGAAAAATGTTGAAAAAATGTCAAAAAAACCTCGAAGTGTTCATGGTTAGAGTATCCGCACAGTAACAGCTTCATTTACTTATATTTAAAATCATGTACTTTACCTTGGTCGATTTATGATCGTCGAGCTTGAGGAGCTCCATTAAAAGACACGAAAATATTCATTATTTGCCAGTAGGGTGTATACCAAGATTTAAACTTATCACTTGCTAAATATTGATCTGTTGTCCATAGGTCTCGGCCAATCCTGTTCTACCACAGGTACAGTATATGACGAGTGCAGACGTCGATGCCGTTGTTCTAACGGCCAAATGATCGACTGTTATCGTGTACGAAAAGAGTTCACTTCCATGACATTAGAAGAACGTCGTTTGTACATCCACGCCCTCAAGACCGTCTCTTCATTGCAGCCTTACAAACGGATGTACGATACATTGACAACCTACCATCCTTTATGGTTCAAAGGAGTTCACCGTCTCAAGTATTTCTTTCCATGGCATCGATGGTATATCTTGATTTTTGAGAACTTTTTACGTCAAGTAGATTGTCGTGTTACGGTACCGTACTGGGACTGGAGCCGAGCTGTGAGCAAAGGCGCCTTATTTCGAGCTTCTTACATCCGGGATGTTTGGCATCCGGGACCTCATGCACTTGGTGGTGATGGCACGAAGTATGACCTTTGTGTTCAAAATGGGCCATTCCGTAAGGATTCGTGGTTTGTCTATCTTATACTAAAGAATAAAAGCAAGCCTACCTGCTTGACTAGGGAGTTTAACACCTGCTACTCTCAATATTTGTTTAATGCCCAAAACGTTAGCAAACTCTTCCAGCTACCGTTACATAAATTCCGAGTCTTCGAAAAAAAAGTGAGACGAGCGATGCATGATCAGTTTCATAATGCTATCGGTGGGGTCATGTCACTAGAGGAGTCTGCAAATGCCCCGGAGTTTTGGTTTCATCACGGATACCTCGACAAACTGTGGGCTGACTGGCAGAAGCGGGGGCCAAAGTTCAAGCACCAGTACTATCACGGAGTCACGACGAATTTCCCTGGAACGAAAATCCGTGGATCATGGTTCATTGACTTATCGAGGCAACCTTTCTGTGTTAAAGTAGTTCACGATCAACCAATCGACATGGAAGAGAGAGAAGAAGACTTTGATTCAAGTATAAATGAACCAGTGCCTATATATTGGTGTCGTTAGGGAGGCGAGGACTAGTTCTATAGAATATAATGGTTATCTTTTTATTTTGAATCTCCTTAAAGTTGTTTTCAGTCGTCGTAAAACCAAATCGTAGGCAACTGATGTCCACTTATATTGACCAAGAGAAGCTACCAAATAAATTTACGCTGGAGGCATTTTTAAGCTCGTTTTCCATGAATTTGAATCCCCTTCTGGTATTGCTGATTTTCAAATATATAGCCTACATAGTTGTTAATTGCAAACCAACTATTGTTTAAAGTGAATTCTTCTTTTGTGGCCGGCCGCCATGTTAATTGACAAGAACAAAACATCTTTAGTCAAAGTGAACCAAAATGGATGCTTAATTTAATATATCACACGAAGTATCAGATGCATTAGTTGTGTGAAGATGGTGCAAATGTGGTGCAAATGTGGTGAATACCACATTTGCACCACATAGGGTGCGCCTAGTGTGGTATTCACCACATTTGCACCATATTCACATTCGCACCATATTCACCTAGTGATTCAAGAATTCACTTTCATCAGTTGCCTACTGGCGGTTTCTCATGGGTTCGTCGGTACATAAGGCTCAGATAATGAAAATACAACTGCATGTCTCGTGCTGATATGCTTGCCACTCGAAACAATATGCATTGTATAACAAGTATGAATCAAAAAAAAAAAAAAAAACACGAAAGAATATAGTTTGTTGGTGCCGTATATATAGCTCACAGTCTTCACAGTGGAATGAGAGGCTTCGAACGTGCTTACACTTTGTTGCCTAAGCACTTTGCTCTATCCATCATTTTCCATACATCGGTTCACTGGTGAAACACAAAGCATTTAGTCGAGGTTGCAAAGTTCAAATTTGAATCATCCTTTGCAAGTACCTTGGCGCCTCGCTTGAGCGCTTTGTGTTTGACCATTGAACCGAAGTATGGAAAACGGTGAATAGTATACTGATTTTTGCTGATTCTTAACTACCCATGCAAAAATCCAGGCACGTCCCCGGCACCAAGTGCAAACACGCTCTTTAGCTGCGGTGCCACGACGACTTGAAAATAAAAATGACTTTCTGGGAAGCTAGGATCTTAATGATATAGTAACGCTGGACGTAGTTTAAGACAAGGTGATGTAAGGGGACAGCATTATATGAAGAAAGAAATTTTAAATCAGTTAATGGAGTATTTTTAAAAGAGGTCATAATTATTTTTAAATTGAAAGTCAGATGAGAAATAAAGCTAAAGGTGTTGTTGGGTGCGAAAACTGTTCTCCTTCGTAAAATTCCTTGCTCTTGTTAGCAATAGCAAAGAATTACAACAGCAAAACGCTATAGGTTTTGCGCCATCACGTGACGTCAGCCATGTTGGATGGCAGATTTGGAACAGTACACATGAGAAAGAATTCAGTTTCCAAGAGTAAAGGGATTTTATTATTTCATTATCAAGCATGGCTGCCGGCATATAATGGAGAATAAACCTATATTAATAATTTCAACTGAGACAACTGAAAGACTTAAAACCCATTGTCTGCATTACATTATTTAATGTTATGTCGGGTTCGGATATATAGCTGAATTTTTAAAAATCAGGTAGCAAAGTCCTTGAATCTCATTATCTGCTCCAAATGTCATGGTGGTCAAACACTGACCGCTATATATACACCGTCCTCATAATGGCTGACAAGTCCACAAAAACAAGGTCACCCAGTCATCAGTTCACAATAAAAGTTGTAAAAGCACATGAAATGCGTTTATAGAAAAAAAGTATAGAAATGTGAACTTTTGTTTTGACCGGAATTCGCTCTATCCACCTTTATTTTGAATGAGCAGCCTTGCTCAGCCTTGCAAGATGAATGGGTGGGATCATTTTCGTGCGCTCGGCAGCCATTATGAGAACGGTGTACACTGTCAGACAGAAAGAATTCTATCAAAAAATTGAATCCTTGCGACTTTCTGGTTTATAAACTGACGGTTGATAAGGGGTACGGTCCACTGAATATAAGAGGTTCGTGTTATTGCAACTATATAAAAAGAAAATTTATTGTTTTTGATATTTCAGGCATAAGGTGGAATCTGAAGCTTGCTCCAAAATAACCTATGAAAGCCTGTTGACACGGTCTTTTGCGTTTCGGCTTCATCTTTATTGAATTTTAGGCTTATTTTTATCTATTTATTTAACTTGATTTAACTAGGACCATACTTCCAGACATCAAATGCTGAACCGTCGTATGGCAGCGCGAAGCATTTACGGCTATGCTGGAGATTTCGGCTCCAACACCGCTATCCGGGAATTACAGACTGATCAGGAAGCTCGGCCGAAGCCTAAGGGAAAGGTTAGTCGGCCCCTAGACCGTAGATGATTAACCCCTTGCTATGACCAGCAGACCAACTTATCTCTTCTGTGGATAATGACTAGGAGTCCAACAGCAGTATTTTACATGTGGGATTCATCTGCATGATAAACTAGCTGCAAAGTATATAAGACGCGACGACACGAGTGAAAAACGTCTGCGCATGCTCCGAATTCGTATGAAAATTAGTCAAAACATAAGTAGGATCTTAGAAAACGTGCTGAAATGCACGCATGCGCAAACGTTTTTCTCTAGTGTCAGGCACGACATCATATCAGCAAAAAAAGTATAATCGTTTGGTTAGATTCGTTTCATCAACCCTTAAATAATTACTTATTCTTACGAGCTTTCGACCTATGCGGTCACCTTCAGGGTAGCATATAGTAGCAAAGAGTTTTATATAATAACAACTTTATTTAATGAGGGTGGCACTAAATAGTGTACTACACTATTAAACTTGTGCCCTTCAATATAAAACTACTAATATTTACAAATTTACAAATATAAAATATATGTAATAACCATAATAATAACAATGTAATATGTTATCCTGAAGATGACTGCGTAGGTTGAAAGCTCGTATTGTGCAAGAATAAGTAATTATTTTAAAGTTGATGTAACAAATCTAATCAAAGAAAGTTAAAGCAAACCTAAAAACATCTGTCTGATTTGAAAACCTACATTATCTGACTTTTCATGATAGGTCAATCGTAGGGGTAAGGTCAACTGAACAATACGCGATAGTTAAAAATAAGGCCCCGATTTTCAGCATTAGTTAGTGGGGCATTCGAAAACCTTTTAAAACTCCTGAATAATTAATGAGCATTTGAACCAATTGGAGCGACCATACACGTCTCGTGTATATATAAAGAATACTAATGAAGATGAGACTTTATTTAAAGTCTTTATTTAAAGTCTCATCCTTATTAGTATTCTTTATATAAAGAATACTAATGTGGACAACCTTATCAGAATAAAGTTTTATCCAAGTTTAGATGAAGACTTAGAGCCTCACCAAGGTCAGTCTCACTTCCTATCATCGACGACCCAAAAATTATCGTCGTCTAGTGCCCCTGTCTTTAGTTCGGCATGTTGTCTTCAACTTGTGGGAGCCTTTTTTGCAGTTACTGCGCATGGCAGTGACGTACAAACCTCACTGCGCATGACATTGCTGTACAAACGACTATCAAAGTATAAAAGTTGGCCAGGAATGTCAAGATTAGGGCAGATTTTGCTTTTTGGGTAAAAACAGCCCGTGGGGAGTGGCGAGGAATGATAAGGCGACTTTTTAGGTAAAAATAAAAAAGATTAGGGGGGGTTAGGTGAGGTTGCATAAAACAAAAAAACCTATGCAATTAAAAACATATTTCAAAATATATTGATTTTATTTTAGTGGAATTTCTTTTATATCACATACCATGGGCTATTAAGTTTAAAAACTCCGCCTTCTTACTAATATTCATGGTATTCCCTTCATTGTTGGTGTTTATTTTTGACACATCTCCTCGTTTTAAGGAAGTAGAATCACGTGACCTGCAAGTTTAAGGGCCTCGTAAAACCCTGGCATGCAGTGACCACCGTCGTGTCTGGCCTTTACTAATCATGTAAAGGGTTGATTGTGAGATGGCTATGGGTATTTTACGGGGTTGGAAATTGGTGCAATGTAACTGTAAGGGGACCCTAAGTCCTATCGTACAGCACCAGCCTGCTGGCAAAATCTGAAATAAATCTATTCTGGAGTCGTGGGACATTATTTTGGGGTCTCTGTAAATATATACATTTGATACAGGAAGGCATCAGGTGCTAACGACCTCAATTACCATTATTGTACTGAATATTTTCGTTGTTATCATTATCGTAATTAATCTCATCGTCCTTGGATTCTTCGTCGTCGTCGCCGCAGTTAAATATTGATTTTGCAGCTTTTACTGTTGGGTCGGGTTTATTGTCAGGAAAATCAGAGTCTATGACTGGATCATATTGTACCCTCACACACAATGGCTGTTTCGATAAGTCAATAAAATCAGTACCTTTGACGCGAGTACCAGGTAAGTTTGATTTGATGCTTGGAAAATATTGATATGTAAACTTGCGCCCGCGGTCCTGCCAGTCAGACCAAGTTTTGTCGAGGAACGCGTGATGAAACCAGAACTCTGGAGCATTGGCAGACTCGTCCCATGACATTATCCCCCCAACAGCGTTGTGAAAATTATCATGCATAACTTCACGAACATTTGCTTCGAAATATTGGAATTCATCGTATGGCAATTCCAGATATTTGTCCGTATCTGTGCGGTTTGGTAGATCGATGGCATAACAGTCATTGAACTCTCGTGTCAGACAAGACTGATTCAAAAATGCCGAGGGTGTCCATGCACCTTCACGAAACGGACCATTCTCAACGCACAGGCTCTTCCCTTGGCCGTTTCCTCCAATGCCGTGAGGACCTGGGTACCAAATATCATAAAGATATTTATTCCTCCATAGACGTCCATCGCTTACCGCGCGGCTCCAGTCCCAGTACGGTACCGTAACACGACAATCTACTTGACGTAAAAAGTTCTCAAATATAAAGATATACCATCGATGCCATGGAAAGAAATAATTGAGACGATGAACCTTTACGAACCATTGGGGATGGTAGGTTGTCAATGTATCGTACATCCGTTTGTAAGGCTGCAMTGAAGAGACGGTCTTGAGGGCGTGGATGTACAAACGACGTTCTTCTAATGTCATGGAAGTGAACTCTTTTCGTACACGATAACAGTCGATCATTTGGCCGTTAGAACAACGGCATCGACGTCTGCACTCGTCATATACTGTACCTGTGGTATTACAGGTTTGTGGGTTCAGCCCTGTGAAGAAAACACAGMATCAAAAAATAGCTCTTATGTTAAAGCCGCGAATGTTCCAACGACAACGGTGCACTTAGACTGGTAAGGATTTTGATCAAGAATAAAAATTATGTTTGCTATTTCACAAAAGTCTATATGTGGAATTTTTTTAAATTTGGATTACGCTTGCGCCAAAATCGGAATCGAAGTGGTAAGCTACATATGACGCAAAGAAATTCAGTGTAAGAATTGGAAGATTTTCATTTCCTGTCTCTGATAACAATTGTTATGATGTTGAAAAATGCATTTTCGAGACAACAAAGGGAAGCAGAAGCGCACAACCAATCTGGTCTCAGTGCCCTCTCCAAGCCTTCCAAAACAATTTACAATGACACCTAGACTTGCCCCAAGTTGATCTCTCGTGTTTGCCGCGAGAGTTTTGATTAAACTGAAGAGAGAGTTCTCGAGGACACCCAGCGTGCGACGGAGTCTAGCCGTAGGAAATTCTAAATTAAACTTTACGCAAGCATTTCTAATGCTTTACATTTAGTGTGCATACAGGAAATAGAATAAAAGAGAATACGAAAAACATTTAAACAAAATTTGAATGTAGAAACATTAAACAAAGTGTTTATGCTTATACCTCTAAGTCTGCTCTTCACGAATTCCGTCAAGTGATTTTTCATCTCTGATGGAGATTTCATCGCTAGATAGTGAAGCGGAATAGGGAAAATTGATTTATATTTGTCTTTAGGTACAGGTTTACCAAGCCATAGAAAAAACATCTCGGTTTTAAAATCCCTTAGCTTTTTAAAAGCTAACAGTGCTCTAGAATTGTTAACATGTGGGCTAGCGCTCAAAATGACGACAATTGGCTTTGGCCGGTAACGTAATGACGTCGTTCCCCTTGCCTTGGACAATATCTGATGAGCCATATGTAAGGAAGAACCAAGATTACATTGGTGACCACCAAGGAATCTGTTAATGGGAGAAAATATTTCCAGGTGAGAGAGAAGAGGTATTTCTTCTAAGCGTTAAAAAAAGAAGAAGAAGGGAAAAAAAGGGGAATAAACAAACAAATGAAAGAACGATCGAAAATCGATCATTTGTTCAAAGCAAGGGCTTGGCATATTATGAAATAGAGGGCATTTGCATAATGACGTCATTTTACTACCACTGCTATCGCCTTGAGAATTTTCTTTCTTAATCAATCTTAAAATTCCTCATGAGAATAGTAAGGCAATTGGTGCTAATTAGCTGAACAAAACTGCCCACGGGATTCTGGTAGTTTTAGTTAATGACACCATACTGTAAATGTCCCATTACTGCAAAAACAGCTCTGTTCTTGAGGTACCTGTGACGATATATAGTCGTCACCTTGGACTTCCCTCACAGAAGATTAGGTCTTACGTATACTGGTTTAATCGAATTCCACCACAAGTTGGAATCAGAAGCTTGCTCCGAAATATAAAAGCCAGTTGACACGCCCTTGCGCGTTTCGGATTTCTAGGATTATTTTTGTTTATTGATTTAACCAGGACCATACTTCCAGACATCGATTGCTGAACCGTCGTATGGCAGCGCGAAGCATTTACGGCTATGCTGGAGATTTCGGCCCCAACACCGCTATCCGGGATTTACAGACTGATCAGGAAGCTCGGCCGAAGCCTAAGGGAGAGGTTAGTCGGCCCCTAGACCATAGATGATTAACCCCTTGCTATGACCAGCAGACCGAATTTATCACTTGCGTCGCAGACGGGTTATTAACCGTCGTCACTCCTTCCATGTGGGATGCGTTTGACAACTAGTCGCACCGTGCATAACGTAAAATAGCTTTCATGAAATGTTAAAAAACAGACAATGTAGTTTTAATTATCTGTTCTTTCCTTCTGTATGAAATATTAAAGCATGGATACCGCGCTCGCGCGCATGCCGATTGTAGCACTCACCTTGCTTTTTTCATCGATTTCACTGTACATTCCTTATTCACAAAATAGTTTATAGAAAATTCGAGAGAAGGTTTCTCGGAGCACAGAATAAGACCAATCCTTGTAGTGGATGGTGACACGCTGAACTCACTCACAAGACTTTGAATAAATGCTTTCAAAGACCTGAACTGTTTAATGCCAACTAAAGATGAGCTGTCCACGATGAACACGAGGTCTAAACGAGGTGGTAGAGGGGAGCCTGAAACGATGGAAGATATGACAGTATATATTACCATGGCAACCCACTCAACTTTTACATGTAAGCCAACCAGAAATGAGATAAAATATGTTTTGACGGAACCAATCGAAGAAGAAAGTAAAAATCATCAGAGTCGCTGTAAGTGTAAGGAAATGGATTGATTTCTGATTGACTAAACATGTAAAATAGGGTTATTTGAGTGTCCATATTTGAAATACTTGAAACAACTTCTAAACTTAATCGGTGATATTGATTTTTTCTCCTGATTTTATAAATGACGTAAATACGAAATTTGAGGTATAACTAAAATAACACTGATTTGATTGACAAAAATACTTGCACGACCAGCGCTATGATATTGAAAGTACACGTCCATTTGCAACAAGAGAATCACTGCTTGTTTCAATCATATTACCATGGGCACTCGGCAGAGGAATACATAGGCATGATCAAGACCGGGGGAAACCAATATGCACCGGCTTCAAATATTAGAAAGTCTGCACATCTTTCATAACTTTGCGCATGTATTTCCTCTTTTCCATACTTGATATCTCATATCTCCATACTGTACCAGACAGTACACTATACTTACCTCGATAATGCTTTGAGTTTTCAAAAAATCTCTCGAAAAATTCTTGAAAGTTTTTGTTGGGTTCGATGTTCTCTAAACCTAAAAAAATAAAGGAGCTCTGTGCTTAGGCCGTAGGAGAAGTGATATACAGCACTTATAGGACATGAAGGTTCATTTGTGCAAGCAAGATGAAGAAAATGTACATTGATATTGGCGCTTATTATTATTAAGATATGGAGAAATGAAAGTGAAAGATCTGGATCTTTTTGGAGTCAATCAACAACAGGCACAAAAGATGATGATGAACAAAAGGAACCTCGAGTGCCGATTGAAACATCGTTTTTGTATGCCGGCACATCCCCCAAGGCCACGCCCCAAAGCCAATCATGTGTCACGTGGGAAGAAATGATGATGATGTACTCTAGAAAACTATACAAGCTTTACGTGGGATATTCGATAGCATTACGAGATATATATAATGAAGAAATATAAAACGCGCGTGCGTACTTGCTGTGTGCACTTATAAAGCACGCGGGGATTGACAAAACACGGAAGAAGTGTTGAGAAGCACGACGCTGCTTGGATAGATTTAGGGAATAAGACACACAACCTATAAACATGAAATATTCAGTAATTAAAAACGTGATCGAGGAAGTAAGTAATTACCTCTTTTAGCTGCAGTAAAGATCTCTTCTGTGGTGGTATCGTGAGCACAAAGCCACAAGATAAACACCAAGAAACACAGCAGTTTCATGCTTCTTTCTTGTCTCTGGCTTCCAAATTTTAATTTCAATTTAAGTCCAATAAGAAGACTGGATCAGTAGAGCTTGATTTGAAAGAATGAAAAGAAAATGGTTTGAGTAGATGTGTCAATAGGACAATAAAATGACTTTTGGAGGGGATATTGCTTACTGAGGGTTGGCTGCCATTCCCAAGAGGTTCAAATGACAAACACATGACGAGTATAGACAAAGGCAGCTAATGAGATGTCTAAAATACATCCAACATGGCCGTGATGACGTAACGAAGCCTTGGTAGTTCACTAGGGTTTCATTTGTTTACGAGAGCAGCGTGCAGGCCGGTTGCAAAAGGTAGTACCAAATGGAGCTCATGGCTTGGGTTTTGTGTCAGTATTATACAGTAGATGTGTGTAGTTAACAATAAATTTATTTTTTGAAGATTCTTTTTGTGGTAAACACAACTGTCAACAGAGTTAGGAGAGGTTCAGGATGGCATTGGAGAAGGAAAATATCTAAGAAATTGTCAAATGGATGCATTAGACGATACTCTCAGATTCCTCCAAGATAACTGAAAGAGAAGAGAAAGCTAAGGGTATCCAATTAGATACTAATTAGTTAGGCCCTAAGCCCGAATGGTTTACGAGTCAATGCAACAACCCATGAGTCCTAGTGCCGTAGGCAATAAGAGCGAGAGATTTCTAATTGTTTTAGTTTAAACCTACTAATCGGTCGAACAAATGGATACAAAATACTTTCAAATTAGGTTGAAAACGCGAGAGTTGGCAGCCAATGTTTTACCTTTATTTTTTTCAAAACGGACAATTGGTCAATGAGGACTATGGTGCCTGTGAGCTTCTGTTTGTTCAATAGACGAATATTTAATATAATAAGTGTTTAGTATCTTTACTGAGTCATGTTTGTTCGGCTGCCACAGTCATATTTCCCCAACCACCGTGTCAGAAATTAGAATTCCAATATTTATAGAGTAGGAATAACATTCAATGATATTTTGGACACCGACTGCCGAATCAAATAAAAGAAATTAAAATTTCTAGAACATGAATTTTTTCAGTAAATATTCAATTATTGTATTATCCGGCAACTTGTTTGTAGAGCTATGCATTCTTTAGCTAAGAAAATATTTCTTAGTCGAAAAGAGATTGAAGAAGGAAACTTAAACTAATTTTAAAGAATTTTTTTATACTTTGGCCGTGGGATGTACGATCGCCTTCTTTGAATTACACTGATTATTCAACTTTGAGCCAGACTTTAGTTATGAGATTATTTTAATTAGTAAAAGAGAAGCAAAGCGATGTTAAACGAGAGGAATGCAATATGTTTCTATTCCGTCCGTTGGAAGCAAAAAACAACAGGAAAAATCCATATTCTTTAAAGGAAGAGTTTGTAAAAAAATACTTGAAAATGAGGTACAATAGAGATCGCAAACATATTCACCTACATGACAACACATGAATGCACAACAACGAATGGTCCTTTTCCTTGACTACCGATGTTATATCTACAATTTCCACAGCATTTTAAAAATTGGTCTCCGCTTTAACTACCCATGCCCGGAAAGAAAAAGCTATACTCGACATTTACTCACCTAGGCCTTAACTCCGCTTTGCTAAGACTGCCTCGTAGACTATCTTCTACAGAGCAGACTGCCGTTTCTAGAGTCGGGTTGCTCACTGATTAATACCAATTTGAAGTTTATATTCACGCAGATATATTGTTTCTTTTAAAAAATAACAAATAGTCTGGTCCATTTCCTTATTATAAATGAATTTCCTGCTTGTATAAGTTACCACGTGTCAATTTTCTAGCTGAAAGAAGAGGTTTTGTGGGAATTTCATCACGCTGCTTTTATCATCTTCAGCCATTTGACAAAGGTTATGCCAACAAATTGGTCAATTGCAAACAAATGACGCTAACTTGAATTGCATTAGGGTTGATACATCTTAATGACTGATTTAAATATATACAATATCAGCGGCCGATTTATCCTGTATGGAGCTCAGTCAAATGATGAGCTCAGTGTACTTGTCATGCACATCGGATGCGAATATTCAGTATATTGCTTATCAAATATCATGTTGTATATTGTCATGTTCTGCTGAAACACTTGAGATTGGAGTGAGTTTGACCGAAAAAAATYCATCGTTTAAAAAGGTGAATGTAAATGAGGGCGATTCTGTATCAAGTACAGACCTCTCCTGGGAAAATGATTTTTATTGTGATTTTCCTTATTATTTTTCTTATTTTTTACATTTGGGGAGTAATATTATTTAGATTGAAGTAAACAACATACTTTTTGCAGAAACAAAAACGTTGAGAATCTTAATCCAGTGAAATTTTAATTTCATATTTAAAAATATGAAAGAAAAGAAAACCCAACAAAATGCTAGTATAAATGTATAGTTCAATTTCCAGCCATTTGTTCGCGACGTCTTCAAAATGAACACCTCAAGAGACTGATAATGATTCTTTTTCATAAATTTTTGGATTTCACAAAACATTCATATGTTTTCTGGCCTTATTTGGAAAACCATGAAAGACATGAAAGCTTGACAGGCTTTGTTTTGCTCGAAGATGTTTTATGGTTTAGTGTCTGCACACCATGTTGTTTCTTGAGCATGCGTAGTCCTTTTGTAATAGTATAGCTGAGACCCTTATGGTCCCACATGGGTTATCGCATGCAAGAATCGTAGCTAGTAGTTCATCTAGTGTTTCTGTAGAATAAAACTTGCTCTGGCACATGTGCTAATTTAATATGTAGGGAGAATATGTATGTATAGTATGCAAGGGGATTATGAAAGGGTTTTTGACTTGAAAAGAAGTCAAATTGAAACTGAACAAAACCTCTTTCTTAATATAGCCTCTGCACCATCCCCCCCCCCCCCCTCCTTCCCGTGGAGGAGGGGGAGAAAATTTACGGTGTGAACCTAAAAAATATTTTAATTATTAAGTGAAGAATGATTGAAGGAACATCAACGTCGTTTTAGAATAACATTCTTAAACTGATCAAACATTGTTGTGGAAAAAATAACAGGTGTTCTATAACCATCACCTCCGAGCTAAAATACGTCACATCATATCCGAAAAATACATTTATGAAAAACAAATATTAACTTTTTCTGCGCGTTTTATAATAATTTTCAGAATTAAATACTTCAGAGTTGTCTCCTCTCATGCGGGTTTAATGCCTTGGATATAGAGGATATTACATGGGCGCGCGGAGATATGAATTCTATCTTCAAGTGTTGAAAAGATCTCTCACGAGTGAGCGTAGCGAACGAGTGTGAGATTTTCAACACGAGAAGTTAAAATTCGTATCTCCAAGCGGCCATGTAATATTCTGTTTATTATATAATCATCAATGAAAGTATGTTTTGGCTTTTTCAGGCAATTCTCTCCGTGTATTTTTGAATAGCCATCGCAATCGTGTTATTTTCACACGTGAAAATAACATGTTATTTTCACGTGTGAAGATATCAATTGTTCGAAATAGAGAAAAATAGATATTTTATTGGCAATTATATAATAAATCAATTTTATTGATGCCATGAAAAAACCTCTGCGGCTGATCTAAGTCAGGGCATGGCTAACTCACAGATGGAACCCTGAAACAACCTCTGGGCTGATCTAAGTCAGGACATGGCTAACTCACAGATGGAACCCTGAAACAACCTCTGGGCCGATCTAAGTCAGGGCACAGAGAACTCTGTTCGAAATAGAATATAGGGTGTTGGGTTTTGTTGACGGATAAAAACCGGATAGCCGAAAGAAAAAGCCTTCATTCAAGGGTTTGCAATTTTATGTCTATTTTTCGTTACCATCCTTCTCTTTCTTGCCCATCTCCCCCTAGTCTAGCTTGTTAGTAGATATAGTTTTAAATAGTATAGCTAGGCCAATGTTTTATAGCCGAAGAGAAAGGAGGGGGATCGAAGGGGGTGGAGACAGATGGTATTATTTCTTAACCCTAACCCTAACCCTAACCCGCCCGCCCCCAACCCGGCTACAAGTCGATGAATGAAAATGTGGTTTTACGTCTTCAGTAAGTATCAATTCTTTACTAGATATTTCTTGGCTGAAAAACCTTGATCGACAAATATAACAAAAATGACGTGACGAAAAGTCGTGACGAATTACATTTTGCTTAAACAATTCATGTTTGGCGGAATGAATAAATGAATGGATAAATGAATGAATGAATGAATGAATGAATGAATGAATG